AGGGTTTCCAGAGCTATGGGTTAACTGTAGTTCCCCCCAGCCTCTGATATCCCCCACATCACTAGCTCTCAGTAGATTCCTAAGAAACTGAAGAGATCAAGTGACCAGCTGTTCTTCTATTTCTAATGAGGAGGAAACATTGGGGATTCCCGGAATGTCCTTCTAGAGATTTTTATGTTCCTCTGGTTTTTTCCTTATGGTGAAGAACCTCTTCTTTAGGATGCCTTTCTGTGGAGATACAAAGACAAGTCAAAAACTAAGGAGGTACACTTAGTTTCTTATGTCCTCCTGTCACTCTCAGAGAGAAGCACCTGGGAATTCACTCAAGCCCTTCGCAGGGCAATTCCTCAGTGGCGGGGATCCCTCTGGGGCCACTCTCCTCCATCACAGGGCTCCAGCTATGACTTACTGAGGCTCCTAAGATGACTGTATTCTTGCAACACGGCACTTGCTGGCTTGTGGCTTTATGGGTATTCCCAAATATCCCCGGGAAACATATTCTTTTTTCAAGAAGAGAAAAAAAAATTACCATGTTTTGGTTCTGAGCTAAAATTCACAACTCATTACATTGTAACTACATGAAATCTCATTTCCTATGATTTTAGGAACTTGTTTTTTTTGATAATTTAGAGAAGATGGACCTTGGCTGACGTTTACTTTACTCAAGAGAAGGGTTTTTTTGGGGTGCCTAGCTGGTTCCCCACTCTTGATCTTGGGGTCATACGCTTGAGACTCACGTTGGGTACAGGGACCTACTTAAAAAAAAAACAAAAAAACGGAAAAGGTGTTCTTGAGAATTTGACAATGCTAAATACATAAAAAATTAGGTAAGGCAAAATACCATTGTTCAAAATTTCTTTAAAAACACGTTTTAAGCACTGTGAGGAACATCCTCCTTATATATCATTGGTGCATTTCTTCTAAATCATTCCTATCAATTCTTTAAAGCAGTTTGACCGAGGAGCCTGCTGGGCCGTTGCAAGCCCAGCTGCATGGGAAGGATCTGTGGGAGTGTGAGTTGGAAGGATCCCTTTGGAAAGGGGCAGCAACCACCGATCTTCACACCGGAAGGAGCCTGGGGTCACAGGCAGGGAGCCCGGGGGACAGCTGGTTGGCGTGGTCCTCCAGGGTCTGGCATGCCTGGCTCCAGAGCCACAATCCCGGGAGATCACAGCCTGCCGGCCAAGAGGAGTCCAACCCTCCCTCCCTCCCCTGGATGGCGGTGGGTCCACGTTGGAGCATCTGTTCCCTTCAGCTTCTGAAACAATGGAACATGCTGTTTCAAATAGGGATCACATGGTGGGCAGCCAAAAACAAGCCAATGACCCAGGAAATGTCCTCTCTGCTTGTAAGATTTTGGCAAAGGAAGTTTAACTCATTTTGTGTGGGGCAACCATTTCTCTATTATCTATCTACCATCTATCCATCCATCCATCCATCATCTATTTTTTATCATTTATTTTTCAAACCACTTTACTGAGCTATAATCCACGTGCCATGAAATTCTCCATTTAAAGTGTTTAATTTGTTGAATTTTAAAATATTCACAGAACAGTGCAACCACCACCACATTCCAATTTTAGAACAAATCATTTATTTTCAAAATTGAGTATGCAGAACTCCCTATTATGCATCTTTGGCTAGATTTGGAAACACACCTGTTCTCCAGGGCGGGAGGTCTCTGGCAACAATGTCTTCTCTCCTGATTCTCTTTATCCTGGGCATCTGCACGGCAGATGTGAGCAGGTAGGAGCTCCTAGAGACCGCTCTTAACGGGTTGTAGCAAGGCGGCTGGTCACTTCGCACCCTCTGGCTGCACAGGAATGTATTCTGATGGAGCAGGAGGTAGGGCTGGAGGCTCTGAGGGTCTGGCACCTTGATCAGCAGCGGAGGCCCCTTAATCCCCTTTGTATCTTCTGTCTTCCCTCCTAATCCTCAAAAGGAGTTGAAATACTAGAATCCCTGCCTCGCTATCCAGACTGGCCTCTAGAGGGCACACGATTTCCCCAGACAGAGCGGAGATGGAGGCTGTTTTCCCAGAGTCACCCCAATGGTTCCCCTGGGAGGGAGTCTTTTCTCGGAGGGAGTCTAGCTTCCTTCCGGGTTGGCCACGGCTCATCCCAGTCCTTGAAACCTGCTTGGGGTGGGGATGAGAGGTTGTGGTTTGGCTTCTTTCTGGAAAGAAACATCTCAAATCTCCCCTACCTTATTCCTGAAAGAGCCTTTAACCATTCCTAGAGTTCTAATCGTTTTTATTTCACATACTTAGCCTTCAAAGTTTTTTTTTTTATTATTATGATAAAATATACATGAAATTTACTATGTAAGGATTTTTAGGGGTACGGTTCAGGGGCATTAAGTACATTCACATTATTGGGCGGCCATCACCACCACCCACCTCCCAGAACATTTTTATTTTACAAAATTAAAACTCTGTCCTCACTGAACGATAACTCTTCATCCCCAGCCCCTAGTAACCACCATTCTACCTTCTGGATCTATGAATTTGACGACTCTGGGTACCTCACATAAAGAGAATCCTGTATTTGTGGATTTTTGTGACTTACTTCATTCGGCATTATGTCTTCAAGATTCATCCATGTGGCAGCATCGGTCAGAATTCCCTTTTTTTATTTTTTTGTTTTTTTAAGGCTGAATACTATTCCGTTTGTGTACATGTTGTTTGTCTATTCAGCCATTGGTGGATGCTTGGGTGGTCTCCAACCCTCGGCTGCTGAGAATAAGGCTTCGGTGACCAGAGTGTACAAATATCCCTTCGAGCCCCTGCTTGCAATAATTTTGGGTCTTCATGGCCTTTTATGCCAATGGGAGAATGAGGTGACTCTACTCCAGGGCTGGGTTTCCCAATGTTTTCACATTATGGCTTACCTCCAAAATGTTTGCTTGGCCCCTTGAGGACACCGGAGGGGTCTGGAGCCCAGACAGAATCCTGGAGGGGACTCATCCCGGCTCCGCTGAGGGGGTGGAGGGGATCCCCCTCACAGCACGCACTGGACACGTCAGGCAGGGACCTCTCTGCCATGGACAGCTCAGCTCCCGCTTTCCGACCCCACGTAGCAAGCAAACACCCCATGGTGTGGAGCCTCTCTAGGTGTGGCTGGAAGGATGAGGTGTCCTCGCCCTCTGCTCTCTCTGCTCACGCCCCCCTCCCACCCTTAGAACACCTCTGTTTGCAGCTGCAGAGTGAGAGACATTGAACTTCACAGCCCCCGGCTGGAGCTGCCTGGAACAGAAATGTGTGCGTGCTACCGAAGCCGGTACAACAAACTCTCCAGAGCTGGAACGGGGTTAGGATGCACAGGCAGAAGGGAGGCGGGGAGGGGAGCTGGAAAACCATGTCCACATGGGGACTGCGGCTGCCGCTTGGAGGCAGCTAGGAGAGGCTGGTGCGAGCTGCTTGGATGAACGAGTCCGTGCGGAAAAATGAGAGAGAACAGTGGCACCCAGGGCTGAGTGGGGAGGGATGCGGCAGGCAGGCACCTGGAGGGAAAGGAGAGGGGGACAAAGGAGAGATGGAGGTGAGTTTAGGAGCCCCTGCCCATGTTTTGCTTTCGAGACCGTCAACTCTGTTGTTCCAGTAAGAATTTTCTTCCTCTGAGGTGTCTGGGCGGGTTTGCGTGCCTGATGGTTCAGGAGGGTGGGACCTACTGGGAGCCAGGGTTAAGGTGAGGAGGGAAGGGGCACAGTGGGGCTGTGACAAAGTGGCCACCAACGCGGTGCAGAACGCTTCTTTTTTAAATAGTTTATTAATCTGTTTGGCCAAACAGGTAATGGAAACTGAGAATAATAATTTGCTACAAAGTTCAGGTCATGAATGCCCCTTTCCCCTAGGAAACGAAAGACTCCATGGTCACAGAATGCACCACTGGGTTATGACAACATTTCAAAATAAGGTTTCCATTTCGTATGTAACAATGTAAACTTCAAAAATAGTAAACTCTAACCCCCGCGTCCCTCTTGACAGATCTATCACAGATAGAATTTTCTGGCAGACCTAAACTGTGTAAGTAAACAGCCTGGTGCTTTAAAAGTTTCATAAAAAGGTTTACAGATTCGGTAGATAATTTTTCGATCTTGGTCATGGAGTAAAAGCAACCAGCAGTTCACAGTCTCGCCGTGTCCATCTGACATGTGCAATGCACACCGCTAGCCATGTTCCCTTACACTGGTCGTCAGCCTGTTGTTTTTGTACACACACACACACACACACACACACACATAGTTTTGTTTCTAAAGATTTTGTACATCTAAATTATAAGACGGCGCCAGTGACTTACAATGTCACCTCGCTTCACGTAGGTAAGGACAAAAATTCTGTAGAAGGCACTGTAATTTCTCTTGCACGATCTTACACACTCACGTGAGAGCAGGCCAGCTGGGGCTCCGACTCCTCCTTCCCTCTCTGTAACCTGGCCGGGGCCTGTCCTCCTCCACCTGCCACCCCCCCGGGGGTCAGCCACTGCCGGTGGGTCCCGAAGTCCGTTTTTGCCTTTCTGCTTCCTCTCTTCGCATCCATCCCTCCATCCATCCTCCAACCACTCAAAGTGACTTACAGTTGTCTTTTGGTTCATTTGAAATCCCTTAAAATTAAGAGTACAGCTCTGGTATAAAACAAAATGTGACCCTACCATAGCTGGAAAATAATCACAGTGTGCAATGTCATTTGCAGTTGCTAAGATTCAAAACGCGCGCCCTGCCTCTTGTCCCCCCGAACACTGACATGGACATTCATTTCGAAAGGGCCGGAGGCTTGTCTCTTCTCTTCCCCTTGGAACTGGTACCCTTAGGTGAAAGGTCTGATGTGGGAAAAGTGCAAGCAAATTGGACATGCCAATAAATACCGTATAACTTACCGCAGGTTACCGGAACTGTACAGGTATGTACACACCTTACCCAACCGAGGGTCCCCCGTCTGGAGCAGACCTCCGAGGCCCTAACCCGAGCGTGAGTGATCGCCGCAGAGTCCTGCAGGGCCGCGGTCAGCGCGCGAAGGAGGGCCGGGCCCTTCGGCTCTTGCTCTGAGGCCCCGAGCCCGGGTCCACGCCGCCCTCCGCCGTCTCCTCCTTCTTCCTCACTTTGAGGCGGGTGAGAAGCTTGATGAGCCAGACGTCCCACTCCTCGGGCAGGAGCAGGAGGAGGAAGCCCAGGCCGATGATGATGATGGCGATGACCCGCACCCCGTTGAAGACTATCTTACTGGTGTAGTGATCCACCACTGCGTGAGACAGAGAGAAGCCGGGTTACTCCTAGACCCGGCCAGGCCCGGGCGCAGGGCGGGGCCCGTGGGCCCCTAGTGTGCCGGCGCGGAGCTGCGGTCTTGCTAGACCATGGAATCTTCCTCGGCGTGGCTTTGCTCCTGGCGGGCGCGGGCGGCCTCGAAATTTTGTAACAGCCCTCGGGTGTGAAACTCCTCCAGACTGACCTGGCGCCGCAGTTCAGACACTGACTTGCGTGAGGGATGGAACAACTGGGCAATTGGAGATACGCACACACACAGCACCCCAAGTTTAACTGGGGCCACCCCTGGGTGGCAGGACACTGAAAACGTGACTGCTTTCTTCATAGTTTTAGTAGTTTTCGCGTCTTCTACAATGATTTTTTAAAGCTTTTTACTTATTTGAGATTGAGGGAGAGCGAGAACCAGCAGCGGGGAGGGGCAGAGGGAGAGGGAGAAGCAGACTCCCCGCGGAGCAGGGAGCCCCACCCCGCAACGTGGAGCTCGATCCCAGGACCCTCAGACCATGACCTGAGCTGACGGTGGACGCTTACCCAACTGAGCCCCCCCCGCCCCAGGGGGGCACTCCTACAATGGCATTTTATATTTATAATTTAAAAGCATTATTACCCAGTATATGCATATATACAATTTGAAGATCAGACTCACACTGGTTTTTAGAAGATGTGAATTCTTGTTCTGCCCCAGGGCACCATTAGCACGAGGCTCTGAAGCCCCCTGGGTCATCACTATTAAGGCTCATTAAAGGTCTGCAGGGCACATGGCTGCTACCTGACTCACATGAGGTGACTCACATGAGGTGAGGGAACGAATCGCGAAAGAGGCTGAAGGTCCCTTAATAAGAATCCACCTCATCATTCTCTCCACAGCTAAATGGTCAAAAACATAGGGGATATTGGGGTTTTGTTTTTCCTTTTTTTTTTTTTTTTTTTTTTTTGGTTTTAATTCCCTGTTTTCTTAGTTAAGCTCGACAAAGCAGATTTGGGGCCTGCCCTTTGCGCAAGAGGCACCCACTGCGTTTCTTTTATATCATTTGGTGAAAGAGGGTTTGCTGAGTTAGAGCAGGAGGCCTTGGAAAACCACCCGCTGCCACCTGTGGGCCTCCTCCAGCTGCCCAGGAGGTGGCCGGGTTCCCCACTTCTCCCCTCAGGGTTCTCCGCCTCCCCTGCCTTCCCCCTCCCCGCCTGACTCTCACCTTGTCTACAGGGCATCAGAGAAAGAGAAAGGGATGAAAGTTAAACCCGAAGGAAAAAAAAAAAAAAGTTAGCAGCCCTTTTGTGGAATTAAAGTGCCTCTTTTAAATAAGTCAGGCAGAGGGCGCCTGGGTGGCTCAGTGGGTTGAGCCGCTGCCTTCAGCTCAGGTCATGATCCCAGGGTCCTGGGATCGAGTCCCGCATCGGGCTCTTTGCTCAGCAGGGAGCCTGCTTCCCTCTCTCTCTCTCTCTGCCTGCCTCTCTACTTGTGATCTCTCGCTCTGTCAAATAAATAAATAAAATCTTAAAAAAAAATAAGTCAGGCAGAGGAAGACAAATATCATATGATTTCACTCATATGTGGAATTTAAGAAACAAAACAGATGAACATAGAGGAAGGGAAGGAAAAATAAAGTAATAAAAACAGAGAGGGGGGCAAACCTTAAGAGACTTTCAACTCTAGGGAACACACTGAGGGTTGCCGGAGGGGAAGGGGCGGGTTGGTGGGGTGACGGGGTAGCTGGGTGGCGGGCATTAGGGAGGGCACTCAATGGAGCGAGCCCTGGGTGTTCTATGCAACTACTGAATCACTAAATTCTACCTCTGCAACTAGTAATATACTATATGCTAACTAACTTGAATTTAAATGAAATTTGAAAAAAAATAAGAAAGAACATCATTTGAGATATAAAAGAGTGCCTCTTTTATCTCACTTTAATTAAGAAATACTTGAATTTTTGGGGTGCCTGGGTGGCTCAGTCATTAAGCCTCTGCCTTCGGCTCAGGTCGTGATCTTGGGGTCCTGGGATCGAGTCCCGCGTCGGGCTCTCTGCTCAGCAGGGAACATGCTTCCCTCTCTCTCTCTCTCTGCCTGCCTCTCTGCCTACTTGCGATCTCTGTCAAATAAATAAATAAAATCTTAAAAAAAAAAAAGATACTTGACTTTTCAATAATGACAGAACGTTCGGTACATTTGGCACACGGGGACCATCAATGAGCAGGGCACACGAGCAGCTCCAGCAGTAAACATCATGGCATGTGGGAAAGCCACCCGACCCCGCTCTCAGACATCGGGCAGTGGTGGACCCCTTTGCTTCTCTTCTCCAGTTGCGAACTGAATGTGATTCCTTCCTCGGACACACGATCAAACCGTGCAGGTGAGTAATAAGAAGGGATTCTCACTGACTTCTCTGACATCTGGTTGTATGAGACAGGCCAAGTGGGCTTCCACCTAGGAGCTCATGAATGTCCCTCAATAAAAGTCCTTACATGCTTCCTTGCAGTGTGACTGCTGCGACTACAACGATGCAGTGAGATGTAGGGGGTAAGCTGATGAGTTATTCTTCCGAAGGCAGAAGCATCTGGAGCCCGACAGGTTGGACCACTTCGCACCAGCTCTCCAGCAGCTCTGGGACTTTCAGCATTTTGAAATGTCGGGTGAGGGTAGGTACTGCCTTCACTTTTACGGGAGAAAAGCTAAGGCCCGGAGGGGGGATGAGCTGGGACCACCATCCTCCAGGTGGGCAGGGCTAGTGCCCGGATGCCCCAGCCAGGCCTTCTTCCACACACTGCCCCGAGGTACCCCGAAAAGAGTCTGGGGCCAGGGAGAGGCATGTGCAGAACACGTGGGACAGGAGGAGAGAAGAAACAAATCACAAGAAAAGGCTTAGGAAACTGAGAGCTGTTTTGCTCACTGATGCCACATCGGACAGGATAAGGACTTGCCATTGCCTGGGGGTGAATCCTCTAGTGGCCTGTGGGTAGGAGGCTCGGGATGGACGTGGCTTTGGGGGAGGGGCCTGTGCCAGGGCCAAGGGGGTGAGTGTGATGGAGAGACCCGACTTATAGACTTACGAACCCTCCTCTGGCTAAGAACAGGCCGGACGGGGCCGTCAGGGGTGAGGAGGGGGCTCCGGGAAGAAAATCCAAAACAGACACCAGAATGAACCAGGAAAGGGAAGGAGGGGAGGGGCTGTCGACCACAAGTTTTTGGAAGAGCCGAGCTGCCAGGTGAGCGTTCTGGGGAGTCCTCAGGGAGAAAGCAGAGCCAGGTTCGGAGGAACTGGCCAGCGTGCTCTTGAGCTTCTGGGAGGTGCAGAACAATGTGTTTCCTCGGTTTACAAACACTACACCATCCCTGTCACAGCCTGAGCACACTTTCCCCTCTAGAAAGTCACTTACAAAACTGAATTTTTTTCCTGCTACATCATTTTCCAAGCTTATTACTAAGATTAATGAGATTCATCTCTGGTTCCCACACCAGTTAGAACCTAGATGGCTGGAGACCGTCATATGTCGGGGTGGTGGGTGAAAACCCAGGCAGTCTGGAGAGACACCGTGTATGCAACACACGCCAACATTCTACCCAAGTGCCTTCTTTCTACACCGAAGGGCAACGGTGCTTTCCATACAGGCACAGCAAGACTGCATGAGAGTGTGTGTGTTTGGGAGTGGGAGTATGTGTGTGTGTGAGTGTGTGAGTGAGTGTGTGTGTGAGTGTGTGTGTGTGTTTTCAAGCAGAGAGAGGAAGCCATACAGGCTTACCTGCATTCACAGGTACACTGAGGACGATTCCAACAGACATCAGAGTGGGATACGTAACAGCGATTCCAAAATTTAATACAATATTGAATGCTGAAATAAAGAACAGAAGAAGGGTATTATTCGTGCCTGGCCCTGGACTTGCCACCCTCCCTGGTCTGCACCCCCCACCCCCAGCTTCTCTGGTGAGGCTGAAGTCATGGGACTTACTACTGCCCTTTGCTCTGACTCAGGCAGCCTGGGTGGGGATCAGGGACAAATATCCCAATGAAGCAGCATTCCTCCTCCCTTCCTGAGCTCTGAAGAAGAGCATAGAAATTCGGAAAAGGTCGTCAGTGAAAGACCCTGGAAGAGAGGACTGGGACCGTTGACTCATGCCACTAACTTGGCTTTTCTCCGTTGCCGGTGGTGACTCTGGAATGAGGATGGCCAGGTGCCTTGGGTTATGCATTCTGAGATGGAGACTGGGTGAGACCCATCCTTGGCTACTTTCCTGCCTAGCACCAGCCTCCTACCAAGTAATTGTGGTGACGATATTCATCGTAATGATAACTGAGAAAATGCACTGGGCTCTGACTCCCCTGAGACCTTCACCGGCCAGCTCCCTCCCGGGCCTGTAAGGACTGTTCTGCTGTCAGGAGGTCACAGGCAGCACTGTCCGGAGTGGCGGTGCCCCTGGCTACTACTGCCAAGCCTGCAGTTCTGGAATTAGAACCCAGTGGACACAAGGGTCTTGAAGAGCACTGGGGACTTAACGATAGATTGCTGCTCTTCTTTAGGGCACGGTTTCCAGATGGCCCTGCAGCTGCCCGGGGCCCGCTAGTCCGTGTCGCTTGGGCCAGGAGCAATCAGCACTTACTCAACAAGAGGACTGAAAATCCACAAAGGTTCCCCCATGGAATGTCATGGAACGAGCTCCAGTATTCCACTTTGGTGAAGTAGAGGATGACGGGAATACAGGTGATGAAAAGGATGTTAAACACGCCCAAGATGGACAAAAATAAGGCGGCTTCTCCAAACTTAGCACTGCCCAGGAGGAGCTTGAACAGAACCTGCGGGAGAAAGCGGAGGAGGGTGGGTGACGGCTCGCCCCCGCAGCCATCGTGCCACAGTGGCAGGGGGTGCGCCCGACGAGGCTGGGCCAGGGGTGCAGGGCCGCAGCTGGGGGACGGGCAAATCCGGCCTCACTCGGCCTTCAGGGAGAGGGTGGTGGGGTCAGTGCTAGGTGCGCGGCACAAGCACCCGGATCTCAGCAGCGCCCCAGGAGACAGCGACATATCTCTGGCCTCATGGAGGGCATCTCCGGGAGTCACGGCTCTGACACTAGGCTCCCTTTGTCTGTGTTGCAGTCATGACAGCACGTCCCAGCTTCAGAGCGTCCGAAGACGGGGATGCCACAGAACTTAGAAAAAGCTGCCACGAGGATGCATTCCTCTGGGGACCTCGGTTTTGTACGACACAGCCAGACCCCCAGGGCAAAGGGCTTTGGCTGCGAAGACATTTTCTATAAATCGAAGGTAGAGAGATTGTAACGCTCACAGCTCATCTCTGCTCCACCCCACCCACCCCATTCCAGAAACAGCATGGGGTTTAGCAGAGTGCACCCCGCTTTGATTTCTTGCACCTGTTCTTGTCTGTACGTATGGCAGGTGTGTGAGGCCCAGAAGAGGGACAGATGTGCCTGGAGTGGCCGGGAAGCTGGGATGACAGAGACAGGTGCCACCGTGTTTCAGGGACCCAGCCACAACCAGGGAATGGATTTGGGTCCAGCTCACGTCTCTGCACGGGTTGTGCCTCCTACTTCGCCTGCCTCTTCCTTTTTCAGCCACTTCACCAATCTTTTCAGGTATTTCTGGGCATTTGTGCATGAAGCATGAAAAGAGGAATAAATTGCTTTCAGCCTTCCACCCACTGGCCCCTCTGGAAAAAGATCAGGCTGTGGGGGAGATGGGAAAGGGGAGTCGAAATCAGAATTATCTGTGTTCATCGCAGATTGCATTTCTGTATGCGCCCTGCTTCCCATTAGCATGCAGCTGAGTGAGGCCAGCAGAGTGTGGCCTGGTCCCATTTTCTGCATTCGAATAGTGGCTTTGATGTCTCACAGTGGTGTGGGGCGATTGTGTCTTCCTAGGGAGATGGGTCCCAGAGCAGGTAGACGGCGTGTGTGCCTCTGGCTGTGGGCAGTGAGGGCGGGGAGCTGATGAGGACGGGAAGGCACAGTCATTTCTCATTCTCAAACCATAGAATGTGTTACACACAGAGCTGGAAAAAAACAAAGTGCCTTTTCTAACTCTCTCCCATACTTAATTTTCCTCTGTCTTACTGCTTGGATCCATGAAGGGCCGTGAGTCTCCAAGCTAAACCCTCATTCTTCGTTGCATCCTCCAGGTCGGGGTTCCAACTTGGAGGCCCAAGAAAATCTGGAGTCTTCCCTCTGGAGGTGAAAGGATGAGAGAGGAAGCGAGGAAGGAGGAGGGAGAGCAGCAGCCAGAGCCGTGATGGGGGAGGGGAGGGGTGGGGGTCAAACATGGCTTCATCCAGCCCTGCAGTTGGGACATGCTTTCTAGGGCTTCCCCACATTTTGTCAAAAATGTGTTATAATAGCCGTATCACAGGAGTTGGGCTTCTATTTATTCAGCCTACGGGCAATGCTTAAAAGGCATGCGGATTCACTCTGAGTCCCGGTGGCTGCCAAAACCGTGCCATGAAAGATTTCAGTGACGAGGCTGCCCCAAGTATTTGCATCATCTCTCCAAACACCGAGCCAGCCCCCCGGGGGCCCCGGTCCTTCTCCAGTCCTTGCCAACCAAAGAAGTCATGAAAATTAGTCGCTGCCTGTCCACTGTTCTGCCTGTTTTATGCCCAGTGCTGCAAAGAGATGGCCCTTGATGGAAAGGTCTAGAGAGCCAGAGCCAAAGCCAAGAGTGGGTACGTGCCTCATCCCTGTGAGTCTGTCCACACACTGAGAACAGCTGCTTGGCTTAAGGCACAGATGCCATCAAAGATGCCCCACATGAGACAGGTCAGCCAGCTGAGACCCGCTGCTCTGAGGGCTCGCTCCCCACGCTTACCTTGTAGAGGGCAGACATGGACGCAGAGCCCACCACCAGCGCTATGCCGATGACAGAGTGGCTGTGGAAGCCATCGGCGTAGGTCATCATCACGATCCCAGCAATGGCGAGGATGGCGGCCACGATCTGCACAGAAGGGAGGAAACAGAGGTGAGAGGGTGGGGGGCCGTGTGACGGGCCACCGAGGGGCCACGGAGGTGGAAACGCTCAGGAGAGTCTCATGCGAGGGAAGAGAGTGGGGTCTCCTTTCCAGTTCTCTGGAAAACGAATGGGATTTCTGTTCTTGCTTAGGAAAGCTTAGTGCGATGGAACCCCTGGAACAGCTAGCGGCAAGGAGCCCTGCTGTGGCCTGGCGTCAGCTGGTGGCCCGTCCCCGTGGTGCTGGGAGACCGCAGAGAAGGCGGTCATGATGCCAACAGCAGGGGCCCTGGCCCTGACAAGGTTTGGTAGACCATCCTCGGAATGACCCCAGTTCCTGCCGAAACTTCTGAGAGCACATAACATCTTGCCTCTTAGACGCGTTGTATTTTAACAGAGAGGGGACTGGACGTGGGGCCCACTTAGCACGCCGGGGGTAGGGTCTTCCGAAAGAGCGAGTGTCATGTGCCAAAGGGCCACGGTGTTCTATCCCTGGGGGTGCTGGGACTTTCCTGAGCTGCGACGGGGCGCTTCCCCACAGCCCCGTCCATCCTGGGATTGTCCCCACCCAGACTTCCCACGTTGAACGGACGCCCCAGGGAGATGTACACGTTTCTGCTGCTGCGCAAAGTGAGGTAGTCGATTACACAGGAGACTGACTACTTGGGACAAATTCTGAAAAGGAGAAATGCATCCGCACAGAGAGTAAGTACAGGTTCTAACTTGGGGTGGTCATGGAGCTACGTAAACGTCACTGGTGCAAAATGGGGCCGGGAATGCTGTGGGCAGAACAGAGATGTTGCCTCGACTGGATTCACTGACAGCGCTATCCCTCTTAACGGCTCATTCAAAATTGACCCCGGCTACCGATAACAACCTCAAGTAGCCCCCGTTTACTAAGTGTTTTCTATGTGATCATATCATCCATTTCATTTTGTAAACATGAAAACTTTGGCTCAGAGAGGTCACGGTAACATGCCCAAAGTCACAGAGCTGGTGTGTGGCTGAGCGGGGATGTAAAATTTCAGGGCTGATTGCAAAATCCGTGTTGATCTACAAAAACAGGAAAAGCAGGATCCACAGAATAGTTGGCTACAGCCAACTCTGAGGTTTGAACTGAGGTTTCCTTTCTGACTTCAGCATGCTTCTAGAATATTCCTTGTGCAGTATCTTCCTGTGATGCAAACTCTGCCCATGCAACAGCAACACCGAGGCTCTGAGAGGCGCGCCAGGGAACTGACTGCCCACTTGTCCTTCCTGATTCGTAGCTCACTGTCAGCCCTCATTCTGCATCACAGGCTGACTATGTTTCTTATGCAAATGCTACCTGCACCGTGTACAACTGTTCACTGAGAGAAGGAAACAGAGATCAGGAAGACAAGCGACTTTTTCTTCCCTCCAGGAGAAGAAAGGGGCATGTGACAAGGCAGGAAGGGAAAGAGGTAGGCTCCTGGCCCAGGGGACACAGATAATGCAAAGATGCTGCTTGGAACGGGTTGACCTCGCGAGGCACCCGAGGTCCACAGGGAGAGAAATAACTAGAAAAAAGAGGAAGGGAAGAAGAGAGCTGAATTTCAGATGATTTGGTGCATTTCCAAAGGTGCCTGAGTTTTTCCAAACTTGGGGCTTTAGTTTCGAGGATGTGAAGGAGCCCAGGGGTTGATTTTCTCCTGAGGACTTACAAGGCTGACTCCAGCCTCTTCCTTTGTCATCTCTACTGATTCAGTAATAAAGGGCTGTGAGGTCCCTCCTCCCCCTGCCCCTACCCAGGGCTGTGCTGTGCCACAGAGCTGAGCGTAGGGGCTGGCGGGGGACGGGTAGAGCTCTCCAGGCCATACTTGAGGAGTCCAGGCCCCCAGAGGTCATTGTGACAGGTGGCATCAGGGGACGGTGGTCTCCCAGCTCCCAGCTCTAGCTCTCCTCTTAGGAGTCCCTGTCCTAGGTCACAGGACCTGCCTGCTCTATATTGTGGGGCACCCCGTCTCCTAGAGCCAGTAGCCCTGCTGGGACCCCCTGGCCCTGAGCCTGGGGCCCACCCAATGTGCTGGAGCCAAGTTCACTCTTCATGCCCTGGACAGCAGAGCAGAGCTGAAACACCCTATGGATTGGGGGGGCAGAGCCTAGACATTCTTCAAGCGTGACATTCCCTTCAAGATCCCAGTTCTGTCCTTAAAAATGACTTAAATGTATACTTTACATTTATACCATAACATACCCAGGTTTCTTGGTTTGCACTCGGGAATGTTGGCTGCCTATTTGCTGCACTATGATGTACTTTCCAGGAAGGCCAGGGGGGCCTGTCCTATGGTTTCACGTGCCCCCCATCTTCTAGATCAGGGTGTCCCTGGGGGAGAATGCTGAGTTGGAGAAGAAAATAAAGGAAAGTAGACAACTGAACTTGTCCCTGCCTCTCTTTTTTCCCCACCTTCCACCACCCTCCACGTATCCCGTGGATCTGTCCGAAAACAGGGAGTTGGGGCTTCAGACTCATGGGTAACAGTGGCCCTAGCCCTGGGAAGGGTGAGTACCACCATCTCTACTTCGGCAGAGGGGGCCGGGGGTGGTGGGGTGTTAGCTGGAGGGGGAGGAAACGTAGGCACAGGAGACACCGAGGTCAGCACGTTGCCCATCACCCTCTTGCTGGTATAGCCTCACCTTCCCTGGTGAACCCACGATAGCCTGCCAGGCCCCCGGGGCTCTTCCCTGCCTCCCCCATGGTCCCCTGCTCCCTCTCCAATGTCAGGCTGAGGGGCAGGAGGCAAACTCCTTGAGCATCAAGGAGGAATGAGAGAGGTGGGAGCAGCACAGAGTCTGACTACCTCTCAGACAAGCTCTCCACTCTGCTCAGACTGGGACGGGCTGTGCATCCTCTGCCACACCGAGCCCCGTGTGCTGTGCTGTGGATGTGTACATCCTGGGGCAATTCTGAGCCACAGAAAGGACAAATTGGAAATATACGCCCCCTCCCAGCTCCTGGCTGCTCTTACCCACTCAGACTATTAAATTTCAGTGGGGATCGTCTAGTGGACCCTTCTGATTTCAGGGCATGGGAAGGGGCCAGGGGTGAGCCCTCCAGGGCTCCCCCAGGCTCTGTGGGTGCTCTGGGTCCTCCCCAGGTGGCAGGGGACAGCCTCCCAGACGCAAGGCAGTTGGGATCAGACGCAAGAGCTACCGTTCAGGGACGGACCCTCGTGAGACGCCGAGGACGCTGTCATTACCAAAAACATCACCTAGAACCCGAGATGGGAACTGGTCTTGGAAAAGGCACAGGACCCCCAGGAATGGGCTACGGGGGTTTGAGGGCCCACCAGAATGATCTCTCAGACCTCTCTGGCTCCCGCGCCAGTCCCTCCTGGTTGGAGAGCCCTGACTATGGTGGGTGGTTGCCATTAGCTCCTTGGCCTGTAGAGAATCCCATCTTCCGTGTCCCCTGAGCTGGCAGGGGGAGGTTTCACCCCAAATGCCCGCTCTCTCTCCAGCTGCTGACCACAGCTGGGTGGCTTCGGCTTCATGCACCCCGAGTTCTACTTGCTCTCATTTTATTGCTGCTTTTCCTACATAAAACTGCCTCCGACGTTCATCTGCTCTGACACGGTCACCAAAAACACTGGGCTGATCCATGGAAGCCCTCCAACTGAGAAAGAACGACAGAAGTAACACCGAGAAAGAGAACCATTACCGGATGTTACGTCGGGCATACACCATCTTATTTGATTCTCACTGCTGTTCTCCGAAACGAGTGCTCGTCTACCTTAAAATGAGGTAACAGAGGCTCAGAGACGTTCAGTGACTTGCTCAAGGCCCAACAGCATATGAGAGTGGAATCAAGATCCAAACCCTGGTCCCCTGACGCTAGACGAGAGCACCTCCCTGCGGGGTCAGAAAGCCCGAGTCTGGAGAGCCAGGGAACACACAGAAAGCACAGAGTCAAAGGGTGACACAGTGGCCAACCTGGGCTCCTTTCGATGGTCACCTCTGATGCCCTAAGTGGCCAGGGTCTGGATCTCTCAGGCGTGAGAAGATGTTTGCTGCTGCTTGGTCAGTCCATGGGACCCGGACCAGTTGGATGTTTTGCAGGAACCACAGCCCTTGTGATGTGAGTCATCGTCTGAATAAACACAGGTGGGCCGTGCAGTTGGTTCCCACCAGAACAGCTGTTCCCACCAGCATAATGCTGAGCCTCCTTCAGCTGCTTTTTGTCTCTCAGGCTTATAAGCTTGGCCCTCCGGGAAGGGGAACGGGTCAGTTCCCTTCAGTCTTTGGAAATTCTGCGCCAGCTACCCCAACAGTCTAAGAGAAACCTTAAGAGAACCCTCGCACCAGTTAGATATTATCTGGGATCTGAGTTTCCATCTGTTCTCAAGGGGAAATTTCCCATCCTACCAGCCACTGAGGGGGTCTTCCAGACTTTTCTAGCTCTCTGAACTCCTAAAGAGGAGAAGAGGGGAATCCACAGTGACTTGGAGCCGGAAGCCCTCAGATGACAGGTCACACGCTTCTCAGAGTGATGATCGTTAGAGACCCACAACCACACACAGTCCCATCGCCAACACCAGCCTCTTAGACCTTCATGTCAGGACCAGCCTAGCGATGGCTTCAGTGCAGGATTTTGTTCCATACATAGCGGTCAGCTCAGACCAAACTGGCCAAGTGCCCAGGACGGCTGGACTGGATCACTATCAGGGAGACAACCCTCTCATCCATGAGCAGCGACAAAGAAAAGATCTGAGTGTGCCATGCTGGTCTCTCTGAGTCTAGGAGGGTTTCAAGTGTTTTCCAACTCCTTCTCTTAACCTCAAAAAAAAAAAAAAAAAGTCCTGCTTAGAGACAGAATTCACCTTGAAGTTTCTCTTCCCAATGAACAGGATCCCGTTTGGAATTTGCTTTGAACATCAGAATCTTGCCAACAAATTTTATGAATTCCCTTGGGACGCTGCATCCAAATAAAGTCACAATGGGCCCTGGGACCTCTGAGTCTTCAGAGCCCAGCCAGGCGGGCAGACAGACAGACTACTGCTGGAAGTACCTGCATTTCTTGGGGAGGTGCATTAGATAATTTATTTGCTGAAAGCTTTTCTGGGTGGTTAGCACAGGGAGTGAGTTTTTATTCCAGAATTAACACTAAGTCTCAAAACAAATTTTCCCCCTACTGCAAGCTAAAAATAATCCTCAGCCGTTGACTCATGTCCCCACTGCTGTTTGAGTAACTAGGTGGGTGTGAATCCTCCACCAGGGTGATGTCATTGTTCCCAGGACAATGAGCAAAGGACACAAGTAACAGAGGGCCGGGAGTCTGCCCCCTGACTGGTGCCAGCGCGGTTCAAGGGAATGGTGACTGCCCATTGAAAGGGCTCTCAGGTGCCTGGCCGGCCCACCGGGCCTGAAACACGGCCTGCAAGTGCAGGAAGGAGTTAGTGATCCACGCCTCTCCCCCCCCACTGCCCCCCAATCAAGAGATCTAGCTTTAAGGCCAAATCCAAATCCTTTGTCCTTGTGTCCCTGCAAAGGTGGTGGTGGGGCAGTAGCAGCCCTTGGCCACCAGAGGGAGACAAGCAGAAGCCACCAGGATTCAGTCAATAAGAACAGTCACCTCGCTCCTTTTACTGGGGTGAGTCCCTGTACAGGTCACACAATCATATTTCACACCACTGTCAGACATCTGGCTAGCTGTTTGACTAGATTTTAATGGGACTTGCCAAGTCTCGGTTCTGACAACAAGAGGTACTTTGAGGACACAAGAATTTCAGTCTCCCTTCGCCTGGGGTGTGAAGGGAAGGAAACTGTCCGTCCACCATCTGGACTTAGCAAAAGCGTCTCTGGCCCACTTCGGCTCCGTACACACGGTCCAGACAGTGGACCCACCGAGACCGTCCATGTGGATGCGGAGGGATCCCCCGGCTTTCAGATGCATCCTAAGCAAAGAGGGACAGGGTTAGCAGAGAGCTCCCGGCGGCAGGGCGTGGCTGCCCTCGGGAGAGACGGGGAGAGCACGCAGAGAGGGGAGAATATCGCCATCCCCAGGAGAGGTCCCCGATGGGCACACACTTTAGGGAATGCTTGTTGAAATGCTTGAAATGAAAGGTGCTTTAATGAATGCTTGTCGAGTATGGTTTGCAAGCGAGAAAGTTGGCAAGGCACACTGAGACCTCAGGCTCCTCTTCTGCCGCCGATCGGCAGGACGGTGGTCAGCAGTGTATGCTCAGGACGCAGCACATGGAGCTAAGCAAGCCAATGGGCAGGTTTTGGTTGACATGACCGAGTGAGGGAGGAAGACAGATAATAAGGAACTTACCCTCACTCCCATGAACCTGTCCCTGAGAACGATCCATGAGAGCAAGAACACAAAAGCTTTGTTGCAGCAGAACAACACGGAGACATCCGTAGTGTTTACTTTCTTTATTGCATGTAAGTACAAGTAGTTTGTGAGTGTCCAAAGAACACCAAAGGGTGCTGCCTTGGTAAAAAACACCTTCAAAGTCAAGCCATTGTCTCCAAAAAATCGACAGCATTCCCTAAAACAAGGAAAGAGAGGCAGTGTTATTATATTCTTGGGTTGAGACAGACCATTTTATCCCCCTAAGCCCATTTTTAAAGCAAATGAGGAAGGGGGAGGGTGGGATTTATTCTGATTTTTTAAATTCTGTATTTATTCTTTTTTATGAGCGTCTATTAAGTAGCTCTTCAACCTTTTGCTTTAGTCCATTGAAGAAAATGTCCCATGATGATCTAACATCATAGATTTTTATTCCTTCTGCTCATGCTATGTTTGGAACCAACGGTTCTAGACAGAAGGCAGTGGAGTGTTGTGATTATCTGATAGGAAGAGGGCCCAGTTTCATGGCGACTCACTGAGGAATCCTGTCACTTGCTTGGTAAGAGAAGGAAGTCACTAGACCTCTATTGTGGGGGAAGGACACTTGACAAAAACTCCCTGAGACATATGTTGTTTAAAAATTTGCCTCTGGTTGGAATTGTCTTTGTGGCCAGGCAGGGGCCGTCCATCCTTGGGAGCATCTAATACGTTTTGGCTGTCATACCACTAGTGCTAACGATCTACGCATTTTCTCCGTGAGGCCGTTTTTAGAATCCGTTACTCCACTGCGTGGACGTCCATGTGTCCACGTCCCCTGAGGAACTAGCACAGGTCCAAGAAGAGTTCAGCCTCTGAACAGAGCGTGAGATGAAGAAACAGCTGTAGAAGGAAAGTTTTCAATGTCATTCTCGATTCCAGGGGAAAGGATCATCAGTGTATGAAAACCCACTTCCAAAAAACAAAGCCACCCTTCCACACATGGAAGAAGGCAGCAGAGGAGGCCGGCTGGCAGACAGAGTGGAGAGAGCCCTGAGAAGGGCTTGGTCTGGGACCTGGACTGCTGGGGAGCCAAGGTCATTGCTCTGCTGCCCTGAGAGCCGGACAAGCCAGATGAGTGAGGTGCGTGCCTATTATGGCCGCAGACACCCAGGCTCATAGGCAGGGCCCAGCACAGGTAAGATAAAACTAGAATAAGCCAAATACCCCAGCATGGGAGAACAGCTGTGGCCTCTGCCACTTAAGACTTAAATGCAGCCGGAAAAGAGGAAAATTAAAAGCAAGAGTCAAAGGGGATTCGGTGTGATTTTTAATATAATTCAATTTGTTCTTATCACCAATCCAAAATGAAATCCGCCTTTGTTCATTACCCAACTGTAGGATAGCCACAGAAGAAGGAAACTCATTACCTTTCACTGAACTCAGTCCTACGTGGCTTCTAAACCAGCACCAGGGAAAATGTTTGTATCACTAAATTTACCCCGAAACCAATTCAACTGAATTGGTTCCAGTTTGGCTTTATAGAGACAAAACTCTCATCTGACAGACTGATATTTCTGTTGCTGCCTGATTTTCATACAGTATTTTCCATGTTCTATGGGGTTTTCTCAAGCCCCTGTTCAGAGAACAGTCTTCTCTCCCTTGGGGAAAATGACCAGGGGTGACACTTCCTTCACGTTTGGGATTTTCAGTAGCTATAAAGTGGTGCCAGTCCTTCTAGCATGATCAACAGGAAATACAAATCTTCTTTCCTACCATTAATGTCAACCTATTTTACATTTTTTTAAAGTAGGCTCTACACCCAGCATAGAGTCCAATGCGGGGCTTGAACTCACTGCCCTGGGATGGAGACCTAAGCTGAGATCAAGAGTTGGACGCCTAGCCCAGATGCCCCTAATGTCAACCTATTTTAACTCTATTTAGAGGTTAACCTTCTTAAGGGACCACAGTTTAAGTAGGATTTCCAAGTTCCCTGGACTATTATAAAAAATGATTCATATTGTGGCAGGGGCCCTCCAAAGTCCATTGGATAACCCATGTCCTCTCTGAGAATCTATGTGTGATTCTTCCAAAGTGTGAGGATTGTAGAAGTGTGGGGAAGAGGGATCCATCCTGGAGACAGAAAAGGCAAGATTTCTGGGTCCAGTAGAGCTCTGTTGGCCCTTCGTAGACTCGTGGCAGGGAAGTACAGCTCAGTGGGGAGATCTTGGTTCTAAGCAGACAAAGATGACTGGCCCCTGAGCCAATGAGTCTCGTGCTGTTTTCAGACCAAAGACTGTCACTAATATATGTCAGCTGGGTTGGCCACATGTACCCCTGATTGCAAGAAGACCCAAGAGAGATGATGGGCACAAATTAATTTCTTCCAGATACCTCTTCTTGGTATACAAAGACTAGAGTATAGTAGATCTTGACTGGTTTCCACAAATGACATGACAGCTGAATGTCCTTCTTTCCTTGGCAGGTTAAGTGCCCAAGGCCAGTAGATTACACCCCAGCATGCCCAAGCCCTTTGGTTCCTACCAACTGAGTCATGTGTTGGCCAAGATTTAGATGTTGTTTGTTTCCATCCTGCTTGAGCTAATTGTTCTTGGTTATTTTGACTGCATAATTTATTAAATATTTCCTAAACCAATGAAATGTGAGAAAAGAAAGTGTTTTTCCTATGAAATCTAAGTTGAGCATTTCAGGGAAGAGTCAATAAAACAAGTCACTAAAATATTGCTCTTGAATTAGGTATGAATGAAACACTGTGTAAGACAGGAAGAACTGTAAACATCTGTAAGTTCTAAACTCCTCTATTATTTGGCAAATACCTATGCTCTTGGTACTCCTTAAAGAACCCTGACTAGGAGAGCCTGGTTTGGTGGAATTAAGATGGCCAATCATTTTTTTTTTTTCAAATCAGTAAGCACTTGTTCATAACTTGTTTTATTCACAGTTCTAGATAAGGCACTCTGGCTGATACAGAACCAGCAAACAGTCCCTGCTCTTGAGAAGATTATAGTGTAATCGGGGAGATACAACTGATTTCCTCAACAGAAAGCAATGCAAGTTTAAATATAATCACATATTAGATGGTATGGAATATAATAATGCTATAGAATTCATGTTTAGTGGAGAGATTTGAACTGATTGGAGAAGGCCTCATACAAGATAGGGATTTTGAGTCAAACCTTCAAGGATAGGCAGGATTTTAGTTAGGGTTGGGGGAGAGAGAATGTCCTTGGAGAGAGAAGAGAAGAAATTGTATCAACAAAACAAGAGTGAATGGAAATAAAAAAGGAAATAATCTTGGAAATCAAATAAAAGATAAGTTAAAGAAATTAGGTAGAAGAGTTGGGATATAAAGCGAAGATAATTTCCTGAGAGTGAGAGAGAGAGAGAAAGAGAAAATTAGAAGGTCAAGCCAGAAAGTCCAATATTAAATTAAAAGAAACTCCAGAAAGAGCGAATGGGGAAAATAAAGTGGAGAGAATTATAAAAGAGAGAAATCGAGAAAGTTCCTTAGAAATATGGGGTATGAATCTTCATAACAAAAGGGCCTACCAGGTACCAAGAAAAATGAATGAAGAAAGAACCAAAACAAGGCACATACTTGGGACATGAGGGGATAAAAATAAAAATAAAAATCTCCCAAGAGAAATAAAACCCAATATGTCCAAGGGGTAGGAAACTGTGATGGCTTCTGACATCTCAACAACCAAAATGGAAGCAAAACAACAATGGCCTTGACATTTTTCAAGGCAGTTTTTTTGCAAGCCAGAATTCTATTAGCAGCCAACCCTCAATCAAATGGGATGGTAGAATAAGATATTTTCAGCTCTGCAGGACTTGAAAACATCGACTCCCATGCCGCACCAACACAACGGTGTAAAACAAGGAAGAGGAAGGTATGGCAGCAGAAAATGTGGCTCTGACAGGGCCAAGAGTCAAAGCTAGTGCCAAGAGGAGGCTCCGTGGCAGACCACATAGGTCTCCGGGAGTGGAGTCTCTGGGGAAGTCTTGTGATTATACCAGCACAGGGAGTATACTGATAGGTTTTTGAGAAGGCAGAACGTTTAGGGAAAAAATAGCAACCATTAATAGAAATCAGGGTAAATGAGACAAAAGAAGCAAATATTACTGGCGGGGGAAATGACAGGTTGTTCACAAAAGGAAACAAGAGTTGGTGAGCAATATTTCCATGCTTATAATAATGAGAACACGGTTAACCAAACGCTGGGATGGCGTTGTGTTGGAAGGATCAGAATCAGGGCAAGTGGGCATAGGATGGGACGGACATCAGTAGATGTCTACATTTAAGACATACGGAGATAAGACTTTAATTTACAAAAATTGGCATAAATACTACAAGAATTGGGAGTGGCTGAGAGTGAGCAGGTATGGACAGGGGTTGCTGTTTTTTAGGATTCTTTTACTGCTATTTTGCTTGTCCAAAGTATGTACATGTATTAAATTACTAGAAATAAAAAATTATTTAAAAACATGTAAGAGAGAGGTCAAGTCGCTGTGGCAAAAGCTGAAACATGAGTGTTCTGAGACAGTTCTGAGGACTGCCGTTTGGAAACCACAGACAAAGAGCAACCCCACAAGTTACAGATAAAGACGCCAGAGCCCAGACGGATCAAACGATGCCCTCAAGGCCAGACGGTGCTGGAGCCAGCCTGTGCTCACTCCCCACTGAACACTCAATGATCCCCTGTCTTGTCTTTCTTTTCTTTTCTCTCTTCTCTTCTCTTCTCTTCTCTTCTCTTCTCTTCCTTCCTTCCTTCCTTCCTCTCTCTCTCTTTCTCTTTTTTTTTAATCCCTCCTCTCTTTTGGATCCTTTCTATCACCATTTAGATAGGTCTAAGCCTCACCAACATTAAATTACACCCCCAAAGCGAAAGCAAGCATCTGGTCAGCCCCCTGTCCTCCCTCAGCCTCTCTCTCAGAGCCAAGCTTTTTCAGAATGGTGGTCAGCACTCACGCCTGCCATGACAGCCTCTCTCACTCTTCAGCTTGCTAACCCAGTGTCAGCTCTCATCACTCACCCACACCTTTGGGCTGATTACTAATAAGCTCTGTACTGCTAAATCCAATAGGCACCTGCTGGGGTTCATCTTTCTCTTGGAAGTCTCTCATATTGTTGACTGTTCCTCCTTGATACAGGCTTCTAGGCTTCCCATTCAGTATACCCCTCTTGGTGTCCTCCAACCT